ATAGCGCAACATATCATAGCATAGCATAGCATAGCACAGCATAGCCTAGCGTAGCCCAGCATAGCATTGCGCAGCATAGCATAGCATAGCATAGCATAGCATAGCATAGCATAGCAGAGCAGAGCATAGCATAGCATAGCGCAGCACAGCATCCACTATTGCTGCTGCTGCTGCTGCTGCTGCTGCTGCTGCTGCTTATATATATATATGTACTTTTATTATGTGGCTGTGCGCAGGTATGTTCCATACATTTTGTCCGTTTGTGGGCCATCTTGAGCGCTTAGTGGGGCAGCTTGAGCCCTTATGATTCACGAAGGTTTCGCACATGTTGCTTTCCTAGAGGCTCCAACTCCTAGGTCGGGTCGCACTTTTTTTTTTTTGGGGGGGGGGGGGGAGCGCAGTGTCTTTTAGAGTTCGGACCTGGCATTTTTTGTCTTCGTCCAGTCCTGGGTGGTAGATTTGGTTTCCAGCCTCCTTGGCATCCAGGCTTCGGGGCTTCGGGTTGCTTTATGTTCGTCGTCGTCGTCGTCGTCGTAGTCGTCGTAGTCGTCGTCGTCGTCGTCGTCGTCGTCGTCGTCGTCGTCGTCGTCGTCGTCGTCGTCGTCGTCGTCGTTGTTGTCGTGTCGTCGTCGCCGCCCCGTTTTCCCCTGGTCTGGTGTTCGTGGCGTTGCTGGTCGCCCTGGCCTCCGGCCTCCTAGTTTTGGGTAGCCCTGGCCTCTGGCCTCCGTGGTCTCCTTTGCCCACCCTGGCCCTCCCGTCCCTGCGCAATCCACCCCCCAGTGTCTCGGATTGCTTTGTTCTCTGGCGCAGCTGTGTTCTAGAGCTCGGAGCCCTTTGTTTTTCCGTGGTCGTGGACGTGGTCGTCGGACCCCTGGCCCTCACCTGGCCCTGGCTCGTGGGCGGAGCATTTTTCGACGTCGTCCGCCTGCTTGGCCAATTCGAACCTCCCTGGTCTCCTGGCCCACGGATTCTGGCTTTTCCGGCCAGGCCTTGTGGCGCGGGGCTTCTTATTTTCGTCGTCGTCGTTGTCGTTGTCTTCCTGGCCATCTCGAACCTCTCTAAGTTCCTTGCTCCTGCCCCCCCCCGCTTCTCTTCTCCTTCGACGCTTCCTCGTGCAAGAGCCAGGGCATGCGGGTCACTTGTTTTTGTCGTCGTCGTCGTCGTCGTCGTCGTCGTCGTCGTCGTGGCCTTCCCCGGCCACGGCCTGTGGCCTCTCTCCTGGCCTGTGGCCTCCCCTAACCTCCCTGGCCTCTCTGGCGTGCCGCCCCCAACCCGCCTGCCCTGACCTGTGGCCTCCACTGGCTTCCCTGGCTCTGTCCGGCGTGCCTCTCCCCCCCCCCCCTTGCTGGCATCCCCCTTCCTTCACCGAGAACAGAAAAGCCCCAAATGCTAACTGCACGATGGAGTACTGGTTTCACTTAGGTCCCCGTCTCCGCATTAGGGATCACAGATTTGAGCGGGTTGGTTTGATAATATCTGCAGAACAACAAACCCAATCCTTAATGTTTTTGGATCTTCCCATGCTAGGTCCCCTCCCAAAGGGTTGTGGGGGCACTGTCATTGCTTATCATCCTTCCCTGGGGCAGACCATGTTGCGCCTGACTTCCCCTCTCTCCAACATGCAGCCTCCGTGCCGCCCGGAAGAGGGCAGGGGAGATCTGGGTGGACGGTAGACAAAAGCGAAGATCTCGCAAGCCGGATATCCCTCAAGGAATTGGCGTGTCCCCCCACCACCGCACCGACAGCAATTCGGGAAACGCTGCCGTCACGCGCGCCACAGTGCTTGCGGATCGTGCAAGAGCCAGGGCACGCGTGCCCCTTGTTGAGTTGTTTCCGCTAAAAATGTGGCTGCGAACCCAGCGAGAAATCAAAACCTGGGCCGGAATGAACTCGCAACCGTGTACATTCAGCAGCCGTGGAGTCTAGCCACGAGTTAGGCTTGACGTGCATCCAAGTGCTGGGGATTCAAGTTTCAAGTGGTGGGGTGATCCAAATATCGGGCTTGTTTAGGTTGGAATCCATCTCGATCACCGTTTGTTGAAATGCTCGATCACTGTTTGGGGAATTCAGACAAGAGTTCATGTTCTTGAAAGAAAAAAGGTGGTTTCCGCGACGAATTTTGTGTGAAGGCGGTGGCCGCCCATTAAGTTTTTCGGAGTTGGCGCGTCCTCGATCATAAGAGATAATTTTTTAGGTGTGGCAGCCTGCCACGACCCCCTACATTTTTTTCACGTTCTCGTATCACAGAACTTTCCCAGGAACGAACTCGATAAGCCTTTTCTCTTCTGCCCAATTGTGCTGGAATGATCAACGCTGATGAAGCAAGCAAGCAAGGCGATGCGAATGTTTGCAGTCCGAGCGCGGGCCTTGATGATATCATTGGCTCGACGCAGACCCAATTCCCGAATTTATATATTTGGCGGAGGCAGACCTTCTGATCGCTGAGGTTGTTCTTACGTTTTGTTTATCAAAACCTCCGAAGGTCTCCAATATCGTCGCTAGGCCAGTGCCGTCCGAGGATCCGATGAAAGCAACGACCATCGCATTCAAAAGGTGCGTGTATTTCCGAACCAGCAAGCTAGATACGCCAAGTGTTTCGACTGACTGCAAACGCTTCCAGGATTTGTTCATTTGGAGCTTCATTTCGTGCCAACACGTTCGCTTTTCGGCCGTTTTTATCTTGACGTGATGTGGTCCGACCTCCGTATTTTGGAACAATATTATTTTATAGTGTTTTTTTGGGATATTGAGTACGTAGTGATGAACACGGCGTCGACTCCGTCAACGCAATTTTTTCATTTGTGGTTGTGCAGAAGGGATCGTTTTGGGACGGTGTGCACGGGAAGGTGTTTCATTTTAGGCGGTCGCTTGGTATGGCATGGTGAACGTGTCTCCCGCAATGGTTATATTCGAACGTTTCCTCCATCAGCATTTCTTTTGAAGTATTCTCTGCGGTACGAGAACAAGTTACCAGGCAACATTCATTTCCGATTCTTGATCGCAGGTGTTTGCGCACACGAATTTGAGCAGTGTTTAAGGGTAAACCATATGCTTATCATATGGCTTTGCCGTGCATGCGTTTGACGTTTTTTTTTTCTGGCTGCAGTTCTTGACACCAACACCGTTGCAGCGCAGTCTTGTTGTGGCGTCTCGTATCAATCGCCGCATGACCTCCCAGTGTAGTTCGAGCATTGTGTTGTTGTTTATTTATTAGCGATGTGACGCGGAAATGCCGAAGCGTTTTCATGTTTCTTCTCGATTGGCTTAGTTCGGCCATGTTTCCGCTTGTCACTGACGCTTGGCCATGGTGTCCCTGGCCCTGCTGCCGCCTCTCGTTCATAGTTTTTCATGGGTTCGGGTTTGCCCTTGGGGGTCCCTTGCCTTGGTAACGCCTTTTCGTTTGCAGCAGATTTCTTCGGTCAGGCCCTTTCGCTGTTCGTGGCTGTCCCTCGCCCTGGTTCTGCCTTGCTTTTTAGGCAGTTCTTTGGTTCACTGTCCCCGGTCCCTGGCCTGGAGTTGCTTTGCGCTCTCGTGAATTTCTATGGTTGGGCATTGTTTCCGATTGTCCTTATTTTTTTTTAGCATTGGTGGTGCCTGGCGATGCCAGCCCATTTTCTTGGTTCGGCCATGTTCCCGACATTCTTGGATTGTCCTCGTTTTCTCCCAGGCGTGCTGTTGCCTATTAGTGCTCCGCCTTTTCATGGTGTCCGATTGTTCCGAAGATGGTGTCGTTTTCGATCCGAGCCTTGGTTTTGGTTTGGTCTTGTTCCCGACGGCAGTCCCTGGCATAGGTGCTGTTCTTGGTTCCCAGCATCATTTTTGGGTCAGTCTTGTCCTCAACAAATGTCCTTGGCCTGGGTTGCCTTTCGTCCCCAGCAGATTTCTTTGGTGAGGGCGTGCCCTTTTGCAGTCTGTGGCGTCCCTCGCCCTTGGAACCCTTGCGTTCTAGGCAGTTTTTTTAATTCGGCTCAGTTTCCGCTGGACCCTGTTTTTGTTGGTCTTGGCCTGGCTATGTTCCCGACAATCGCTGAAAGCCGTGGTGGCGCCTTGCGTCTTTGCTTCGGCATTGTGCGCCATTGTCTTTGCCATTGTTCGCCTGTCGTTCTCAGTTTCTTTTCTCAGTTTGGCCCCGTCCCGATGGTCCCTGGCCTTGGTAGTGGCCTGGCTTTCATTGGTCCGGCCCTTTGCAGTCCGTGGCTGTAATTTCTTTGGTTCGGCGCTGTCCCCGACCGTTTCCTCCTCTTGGCTCGGCCTTGTCGTCGGCTTTGGTGCCCGCGTTCTTACTTCCTTTCTTTGTTCGGCCCTGTCTCCAGCTGTCGCTGGCCTTGATGCTGCCTTTCGTTCCTACTGGTTTCCTTGGTTCGGCCTAAACTCTCTTTCGTTCACTGCAAGTTTCCCGGGTTCGGCACCGTGCCTGACTGCCCTGGTGCTGCCCGCCGTTCCCGAATATTTCGCTGGTCCAGTCATCTCTCCATTTGTCCCCGACTGCCCCCTGGCCTTAAGGTCCGCCTCCATTCCCACGGATTGCGCACGACTGCCCCCGATTGTCCCCAGCTCCTGGCTGTCCACTGCCCTGGTGCTGCCTTTCTTGCGCTCCAGGCCGTGTTGCTTGGCTTGATCCTGTCCCCGACTCGCCTCGGTTATTCCTGGCCCTCTTGGTGCTTTGCGTTCCTTATGTTTTTTCTGGCTTGGTTTCCATTTGCCCTTGGCCCTGGCGCCCGTTTTTTTTTCATATCGTCACGCGCCACTACTCATCAGCTGTGCGTTTTTTTTTTTTTTTTTTTTTGTTGGTCCACTTGCCAGTTTCGTTCCCGAACGCTGGTATTGTAACGTCTCGACAATACGTTTACCGGGATTAGTTGTCTGGCGTGTGGATGAGGCGAATAAGGGGGAACATGCTGTTCGGTCGGAACCTCTTACTGGGATATTGCAGGTAGAAATGGGCAGCGTCATGCTGCGAGGGACTACATTTCGCGATTGCAACTTGACCCCTGCCTCAGGATTCGTCGTCTGCGATCCTGAACTCGTGCGCCGACCTCAGTCTGCCAGCTACGTCGCAGTGCTCTGGGCACGGCTACTGCAAGGAGTGGAACCCCAAGGAGCGATCGGGCGGCCAGGGAAGTAGGCGAGGGAGAGCATGAGAACGGGGAGGAAGAGACAGCATCATAAGAAACTGATCCCCCGATAATTTGAGACTCTGTGATGTAACGTTCAGTCTTCTTTGTGCTTGTGTGTGTGTTGGTCAGGATTGAAGTACATCAAAAGCATTAGCCTACTCTCCCCCTGGGAGAGTGGGATGTTCGAGAAGGGATGTTCTATGTGAAGGCAGCATGTGCCGTCTTCGGCGCTCTGGTCAGACTAGGAGCGTGTTGTCTCAGTTTTAGAGCTCGAGATGATGAACTAGAAGAGAGGTCTCACATGCAACAGACACGTTACCACTTGTAGGGTGCACGCTCGCTTGCTCATTGGGCTCCAGTGCGTTGCTGCGATTGAGGAGCGCAACCCTGTCCTGAGCCCTGGATTGGTGACAATGCCCTCTCGGCCAGGCCAGGAGTGGCGTGCATACCGAGCTTGGATCCTGGGATTTGTCTGGCTGAGAACGGTGCAGGGCAGCTGCTGGCGTCCTCCCGCGAGCCGCGCGACCGACGCGCAAAGCCGCCGTGCCCCGCGCAGAACCTGCAGAAGGCGGCGGTGTCCTTCTGCATGTGCGAGCGCGACTGGGCCGACCCCGAGTGCGGCACGTGGCCAGCCTAGGTGTGCACCGGCGCGGCTCGGCTGAAATCGAGCGTGCCGTGGGTCTCCTTTTGGGTCGTCGTCTGTCCCTCTCTCTCTTTCCCTCTCTCTTTCTGTCTCTGCATCGTGCCCCCCTCCCCCCCGACCGTTCGTCGCACCCTCCCCTCCCTTCACTGCCCCTCGGCTCTTTTTCCTCCCCTGATCCGACCTCCCTTCCGGGCACCGTCATGCCCTCTCTATCCCTCCCTCCCTCCCCTCCCCTCCCTTCCCTTCTTTCCCCCTTCCCTTGCTAGCACCAGTGCAGCGTGATGTCTCTCTTGGTCGTCAGTTTTCAGACAGTATTACAGGAGGGCGATGGAGAGCGTGTGGCTCGTGTGTAGTCTCCAGGTATTACCAGATGGGGTCGTGCCGCAGGACAGGAAGGTACCTGGGAAACTCGGAGCCAGATCGAACCGAGATGTATAGGACAGCGGACTAGCATAGTGGGGCTCACTCCCAGCATCTGACATATATATCTCAATTAAGCCAGCAGCGCAGGTGGGAGCAACTCACACTTAGGTTTCTGTTACGGTTGGTCGGCATTGATTGTGCGACTATGGGATGTGCAGCTTTTTTTCACGCGCATTCCGAACACATGTGAACAGGTATTCGTGTAAGGCACAGCGGGCGGCATGAATCAGCCAGAGATGCGGGTCGGGAACATAGCAAACAAGGTACGCATACTATTAGCGCAGGAGTGGGCCAGCGCAGATAAGGCGCCGGAAGTCCCAGACGAAGGCATTCTTTCTGTCGCTGTTCGGAGGCGTGTTCGCACTGGACTACTTCTACCTCGGCCTAGAGGGGAGAGATGAGAAGTCGGCACGGAGGCGTTTGCTGAATGTGTGGAAAGGATAGCTGCTCCGCGCGTGCCCTGTCGGTGTGTGTGTGTGTGTGGTGGGTCATGACGGGACCGTCGCGGAACGAGAGAGAGAGAGAGAGACAGACAGTGTGGGAGGATGGTGGAAAGTGAGGAGGAGGAGCAGGAGGGGGAGAGGGATGATGGGCTCGTGTATAGGGCCAGGTTTCAGAGCAGTGGTGACCCACGGAAAGTTATTCACGGGCTTTGCTCTTTGCGGCCCCGCTGCGCGGATCTTCGGAGGGCGGACGTCGCTCAGACCCCCTGCGGCTGTGGCGCGCCCTGGGCTGCCCGCTAGGGGTCCTCACCGCCGTGGCCCCTCAGGGATAAAGTCCACCGCCAGAACATTTGCACATCCACCGCCTCGGTGTCGCGCACCAAGATCGCGAGGGCTTTCCGAGGAGTGGTGGACATGATCTGGATATCTGCGCGCCCCCGGGGGTGAGAAGGTCTCCATTTCCATCGTTTCCCAGGAGTCTAGGGCAGGACTCCATTAGCTGTGGATGTGGCAGTATCTTAGTGGTGCAGGAGTCGGTGCGCACGTTTGCGTATGTTAGTGTGTCGATCTTCTCTGCCGCTTTGTCGAGCGTGGCTTGGCCTGTAAGAAGGGTCGCGTTGGGTAGGGGGCGAAGCTGGTCCGCGTGCTCCGAGGCGTTGGTTAAGACGCTGGCCCGACCTTTGCCAATAGATCTCTGTTCCTGCCCGCCCTGCCCGTGAGAGATGGTTTCGCCAGCGTTTCTGTGGGTGCTTGTCTGGTTGCTGGCTGCTTCTGCGATTGTCTTTCCGCTTGCTAGCATCCAGCCAGCAGTGCACACACTGTTTTGGAAGACATTGTCGTCTGCTATGCCATGGCGTAATTATCATTCATCACGCCGTGTTGGCGGCTACGGGCGTAAGCTTCTTGAGAAAATAACAACTCTTTCATGTCCACTGCAAACGCAGCGTGATCGTTTGCCATTATTGTGGAACGATAGCCAGCAACGCCCTGCTGCATGGCATCTTTGTTGAATAACTTCCAGTCGGCGGCGTCAGCTGGTTGTCTTTCGGCATGGCTCGCACGTTCCATGTAATCAGATGGCACGTGAGGCACGCGTGACCGACCTGCACGCGCAGGAAGAGTCGGCGCCCGTGTGCTGATGTTCACTGGTGCACGCAGTGTGAACTTGCCGTTGTATCCTTGGGGCAGCAGGACGTGCTTGAAAGGAATGTGATGGGACGAAGAGCAGCGATATCGTAGTATTCGCAGCAGGCGGGGAGGTTTTCCGCTCTGGGGCTTTGCCAAGTTGGGCACGTTCGGCGGCCTTGGCTTTTGGTGGCTGGTCAGCATGCTCTACTCTTCTGACTTGTTGTTGCTGCCTTTTGTGTTCAGCAGCGTCACTTGCCCTCGTCTTGCACTTCTGTGTTGCCCTCAACAGCGCCATCGCCTTCTGCTGACCATCTGAAGTTCAGCTGTTCCGACCATTGTCGCTCCTTGTTGCCCTAGTCGCGTCTCTCCTTTTGTTCTCTCCGGTAGCCGTTCTTTGGTTGTCCGAGGCCCGAGGCTTCTGCAAAGAGGCTTTGGTCGAGACGAGTGGGGAGAGAAAGCAACTCTTGAAGACGCTACCAAGCCGCACGGGTTCCGCTTATTGTGTGGAGGTACGATCAGTGCCGCGGGCAGCGCAGCATTAGGCTGCCGCGTCAGGGAACAGCGTGCGTAAACGTCCGTTGGAGCTATTCGCAGCAACAGAACAATGGTCTGACTTGTGCCTCGAAACCACATTGGGGATCACCTGCGTGGTCTTTCCTGGGAACCTTTTCGACACCTTTCATCGCGTGTCTTTTTTTCATGTTCACTGCTTAGTTGCTCCTTAGCGGCGCCTGGGGGGCTCTTCAGTGGCTACTACAAGCATCGGCAACAATAACCTGACACGCTGTTCAAAATCGAAGCGCTCGATAGTTTGGACACTGGTCAGAAAATGCGTTATTCAATGATGTGAGGGTATTGCTGTATTTTGGGCACCCCTGCGGCTGGGCCAAATTCTCATGCCAGCACTGAAGTTGCGCCGACCACATAAGCACTAACAGCAATAAACGACAGTTTATGTTTGACGAGTATTGATCGCTTGTAGGCGTCAAGCTGGCTTCCATTCGCCAACGCTCATTGCGTTCTTGTCTGCTTGTCGGCGGTTTTCGCGGTAACTCATCCCCTCGTGGTCTTGTGTGCATCCGTGCATGGACATTGCAATCCGACCGTTTTCTTCAACTGGTTATACACCGCCGCGACAATAGTTTGGCTCATGTATCTTGCCGCGGCGAATGAAGGCGAGAACGTCGCAAGACTTGCGATGCCCCCCCTCCCCCGCAGACTATTACACCAAGACGACAAAGCGCAGCGGTTGCGCGGCCGCGGCAGAAGAGAAAACTCTTTCCACTGATATTACTTAGTAGTAGCTGTATTTCAGGGGATTAATTCATCCGCTTATTTTTTGACGCATGGAAAATTCATCCGCGCCGGCGCGAGGGAACTCGACTGGGGAAGGCAAATGGGCCTAAACTTTCGTCCCGCCAGAGTAGTCATCACCGTCGCCAGTGCCATCGCACGTAGTTCCTCTCGGATGTCCTCTCGTATGCGCCCCGCCTGCGCGTTACCTGCCCACCATCACCATTCGCTGTGCTGGAGGTGCATTTGGCGAGGGCTTGTGGTTCTGGCCACGCTACGCTCGAACCGCCGGGGGGATTCTTTACGCTTCGCGTATCCTTACCAGCCATCTCAGTGGTCTGTCCCAGGAGTGCCCGCACGCCTGCACAGCCTCCTGGCAGCCCCCGGCAGCTCTCGCAGCCTCTGCCCCCGGCACAGTCCAGCTTCCCCCGGCGGCAGGTTTAGCTGCTGCCTGCCTGCGCGCGCTAGGTAATTAGTTCTGCTCGTAGTCCGAGCCGACCTGTGACGCCGCCGGCGCCTTCGCCGCGGTTGCGACATAAGAAATCCTTACCAGCCCATCCAGTAACAATCCGTGCGTGGACACTACAATCCGACAGCATGTTTCAACATATTCTCCTCGTCACCGTCGCCAGCGCCATCGCACGGAGTTCCTTTCGCATGTGCTCTTGCACGCGCTCCGGCTGCGCGCCACCTCGCCCCCCGCCACCATTCGTTGTGCCCTTGCCACGCTACGCTCGAACTGGGGGGAAGAAATCTGGACGCTTCGCGTGTCTCCACCAGCTCCGTAACCCCTCTGGCTCAAGCCGCTCTGGCTCAAACTGGCCTCAGCGGCTGGCCGGCCGTGGCCGGGGGCCCGCCCCTCGGTCCTCGGCCCCCCCGCCCGCGGGGGCGTGCGTGGGGTTCGCCCCCCTCCGCGCCCCCGCTCGCTCGGCCATGGCGTCGCGCTCGGCGCGGCGGCGGCGGCAGCGGCACGCCGCCGCCTGCCGCGCCGCCGCCGCGGCCGGCCCGGCCAGCCTGCTGCCGCCGCGGCCCGGCGTGGCCGGCGGCGCTGCCACCGCGGCCGCCGCCGCCGCGGCGGCCGCCGCGCTGTGGCGGCGGCCGGCCGCGGCGAGACCGCCGCGGCCGCCGGCGCTGTGGCGCGCGCCGCTGCTCTGGGGCCTGCCGCGGCGGCCGCGGCCGCCGCGGGTGCGGCGGCCGCCGCCGTGGCCGCCGCGGCCGCTGGCGCCGCCGCTCCCGCTGCAGCTGGTGTCGCGGCCGCCGCTGCCGCTGCCGCCGCCGCGGCCGCCTCGGGCGGGCCGCCGGCGGCGGCGGCCGCCGCCGGCCTCTTTGGACTGGATGCCGGTCCCCAGCATCATCTCGTACTGAACAGGTGGTGCGAGAAGGGCAGGCGCTGGCAGTGGCAGCTGGCCGTGGCGCTGGTGAACGAGATCCTGGTCGTGAAGCTGGAGCCCAACATCATCACGTACGGCACTGTGAACAGCGCGTGCGAGATGAGCAGGCGTCGGCAGTGGCAGCAGGCAGTGCCGCTGCTGGGCGAGATTGTGGCCGCGAAGCTGGAGCCCACCATCTTCTCCAACGGCACTGTGAAGAGCGCGTGCGAGAAGAGCAGGCGGCAGCAGTGGCAGCAGGTCGTGGCGCTGCTGGGCGAGATTGTGGCAGCGAAGCTGGAAGGCTGGAACCCAACATCATCACCTACGGCACTGTGAAGAGCGCGTGCGTGAAGAGCAGGCGTCAGCAGTGGCAGCAGGATGTGGCGCTGCTGGTCGAGGCCCCCGTCGTGAAGCTGAAGCCCGCGTTCATCAACTCTGGCACGGTGAACAGCGCGTGCGAGAAGAGCAGGCGTGGGCAGTGGCAGCAGGCAGTACCGCTGCTGGGCGAGATTGTGGCCGCGAAGCTGGAGCCCACCATCTTCGCCAACGGCGCTGTGAAGAGCGCGTGCGAGAAGAGCAGGCGTCAGCAGTGGCAGCAGGATGTGGCGCTGTTGGACGAGATTGCGGCCGTGAAGCTGGAGCACAACATCATCACGTACGTCACTGTGAACAGCGCGTGCGAGAAGAGCAGTCGTCGGCAGTGGTTGCAGACTGTGGCGCTGCTGAGCGAGATGGCGGTCTTGCAGCTGAAGCCCAACATCATCACCTACCACATCCGGAACAGCTGGTGCGAGAAGGGTGGGCTTTGGCAGTGACAGCAGGCAATGGCGTTGCTGAGAGATGATGGTGGTCGTGCAGCTGGAGCCCAACATCAACACCTACAGCGCCCTGAACAGCGCGTGCGAGAAGAACAGACGTTGGTAGCGACAGCAAACAACGGCGCTACTGAGCGAGATGGTGTTCGTGCAGCTGGAGCCCAGCATCATCCCCTGCAGCGCCCTGATCAGCGAGTGCAAGAAGAGCAGGCGTTGGCAGCGTCAGCAGGCAATGGCGCTGCTGAGCGACATGGCGGCAGCGAAGCTGAAGTCCAACATCATCACTTAGGGCGCCCCGACCAGCGCGTGCGAGAAGAGCAGGTGTTCGCTGTGGCCGCGGTCGTCGAGGACCAGTCCGCGGACATCACGGCTGCTGCGCGCAATTTCGGCGTCGCAGTGTTGACGTCCAGCGACCCCGCGGCGGACGTTGCGAACGGCCGCCTTGCAAGTTCGGCGATCCTCGGCATGTTCCCCCAGGACTGCCGGATTGGCTCCGCCCAGGGCGATGGGGCGCTGCGCGCTGGATTCCCCGCTGCGCGCCTTCAAGTTCGAGAGCGAGCTGGGCGTTCAGGACACCTCGGGCCTTTGGGGCCCTGCTGGCTGCGCAGCGGACGGCAGCGCGGAGAGTCTCGCTCACCAGCGGCAGGCAGAGCTGAAGAACGACCGCGGGAGCATGCTGGCGAACATGGGCTACATCGCGCCTGGCATCGCTGGCAAGCTGCCCAAGTCGCCTTCGGACGACCTGGAGTTCACAGACATCCCGCGCGGGCTCGTTGCGCTCCCGAAGGCTCCTGCCGCTGCCTGGGCGCAGATCGCGGCGCCTGGCGCGGGCGCGAGAGATCTCGAGACTCGCAGCGACATCTCGGAACATAGCAGCAGCAGCAGCAACGTGCCACCCCCCGCTTCGTTGACAGATGATGACGTCCCAGAGGGGAATCGATCGTTGTCTGACGAGGACGTTCCAGTGGGGAATCGAGAGGTGGTTGCTTGCAGTGACCAGTGTACAGCTCACACTAACCCCCCCCCTTTCAGCAGTACCAGCAGGGCAGAGGAAAGGAGTGGGAAGTCACGGCGGAGACGGCGGAGGCTGCGGAAGCCGCGGGGTATCCCCCTCAGAGCAATCAGACCGTCAGCAGTCCTCTGGGAGTGCCACACACCCGGACACACCCAGCAGGGAGACCGCGGAGCAACCATCCAGACGCAGGACAGCGAAGCCATCCGCTGGCTCGTCGGGAGAAACCTCTTCGCGCCTATTCGCCCCCCTTCCCCTGTCAGTGAGCTCCTTGCGGACGACGAGCCCCAGGTGCCCTCCCCAGGCGTCCAGGGCACCACTGGCAAAGCAGCTCGCGCCCCGGCTATGGAAGCTGCGCCGCCGAGCGTGCACGCGCCTGGCGCAACCAACGGTGCCCCAGAGACCGGAGAGAGTCCTGCGCTGTCCAAAGGGGGCGCACCTGGAAGCGACGGCGGGCACAGGCCCGAAGGCGAACGCCAGCGAAAGGGGCCCTTCCCCACATGCCACAAGGCCGCGTCTGCCCTGGCCGCCGGACGCGATCCGACCCCAGCCTGGTGGCCAACCATGCGGCTTGCATCTCCCCGCAAAACTCTGCCATGCGTGCAGCTGGAGCTGTTGCGAGCAGATTGCGAGCCCCCCAGCCAGGACAACGAGGCGGGTACCGTGGAGACTTGCGGCCAGGATACATGGCGGCACCAGAGGC